GGTACTCTTCAGAGCCATAGTGTGTTGTGTAACCCATACACAATGCGACCTAAAACAAGCACTTACTAGATATCTTTCAAGTGGAATTCAAACATAGGAAGATGTGATAGTGTGAAGGTCAGTTCTACTGACTTTCCTCTATTCTGTTTTGCTCATGAAAGCAAGTTCCTAGAGTGCATTTCAGCGATGATTCAATTGATGGATATTTGCTTTACATACAATATCTGGATTCACAATAATAGCCTGCAGCTGTGATTCCCCATCTTAATCTTGGTTGTACATTAAAAATGCCTAGGGTGAGGCGCCTGGGTGGCTCAGTCGGTTAAGTGACCGACTTCAGCTCAGGTCACGATCTCACAGCTGGTGAGTTCACCCCGCATCGGGCTCTAGGCTGACAACTCAGAGCCTGGAACCTGCTTCAGATTCCGTGTCTCCATCTCTCTCTGTCCCTCCCCCACTCATGCTCTGTCTCTCTTTTCTTCAAAAATAAACAGTTAAAAATATTTTTTGAAAAATGCCTAGGGAGCTTTCAAAGCTCCCCATGCCCACACACCCAACCCATTTACAGAGAGGATCTTGAGAGTGGGACTCAGACCTCAGGTTTTGTTTTGTTTTGTTTTAAGGCTTTCCAGAAGTTTCTGGTATGCAGCCAAAGTTGAGAAACACTGCTGTAAAGTAATCCAGAACTGTGTGCTCCAAATCCAGGAGTCTGTCTTTTTGCCATTAACTCCTTCTCATCCTTGGTCCTTGACCCTGCCCCCACCCCACCCCACCTCACCCCAAGCCTCCGTAGGCCTCTGGGACCCTGATCTTTGCCCCTCTGTTTAACACAGCCATAGTGAAGACGGAAGCCTGGGTGGCACAAGGGTGACATCTAGTGGTGAAAATAAATTTGTCAATTGTCCCATTTCCTGGAAAATTACAAGAGAAAGTCACCAGTGGAACCTGATCTGTGTGCATCCTTGCATTGGCTAACCCGTGCTTTTCTGTCCCATGTAACTGATGACATTCTGGGAAGATCACCAGGCTGAACTGCATTTTTGGAAACCACAGAGGAGAGGTTTTGGTCTCTGCTGAACTCAGTCTTCATTTTCAGGGGGCTTTGCCCACCCTGCCGAGAGGTCTACTGTTCATGGCCCTTCTATCACTCATAGGCACAGCCTGACAGCCCCTTGCCTCAAGCCTGGCAAGCATGCCAAGCTTTCCCTGTTTCACTCCCATTGGCACTAAGTGCTTGTGTGCACATGGGCTCATCTGGCCAGGCCCCTCAGGTGGCAGGCAGACAGGGGGTATGGGTGGGGGTGGTCTCTGATTTTCAAGTGCTCAAAGGCCCCCCTCATGCTCTGTGCCTCCCTCCATGGATACCTCTGCTGCTCCCAGCAAATGTAGGGGAGTTTATGCCTGTGGGCATTATATTGGATTACTAGGGCCGCCATAGCAAGGGACCACAGACTGTGTGGCTGAAACAACATAAATTTACTTTCTCACAGTTCTGGAGGCTGGAAGTCTTGATCATAGTGTTGTCCAGTTGATTCTTTTGAGTCTTCTCTTCTTGGCTTATAGATGGTTGACTTCTTCCCGTGTCTTTATATGGTCTTCACTCTGTGTGTGTCTGTGTCCCCATCGCTTCTTATAAGGACACCAGTCATATTGGATGAAGGCCCACCCTAATGACCTCATCTTAACTTGATCACCTTTTAAAGGCCTCATCTCCAAATACAGTCATTTTGAGGTACTTGGGGTCAGGGCTACACCAGATGAATTTAAGGAGGCAGGGACACAATTCAGCCAGTGACCAGCATGTTTAGCTAATATGCGAGATGGAATCCAGTAGATAAATTCTTCTCGCTTTTTCCCTGTTGACTATTTGGAGACACAGTAATTTTAGGCAGCCTCTCTGAGCTTGACCTTGGAGACCAAGTAACCTTTTGGCCCCTTAAAAAGCTGTGGCCAGCTCAGTAATGCATTCTGTTCTTCTTTGTCACACAACCCCGTTTCCTTCCTACTTCCTTCAGATAGTGCTCCCTACTGAAGTGTTTGCGTGTAAGATTTTCTTTCTAGAGTCTAGTGGTGCCCATCTTTCATATGAATTTCTCTGGTTTCACCAAGCTTAGGCACAATGAGAAGTTGCTGGACATTGATTTGGCTTCCTTGTGTTGTGTCAGATCAGTTCCACATAGCCAACCCTAAGTACTTAGTATATACAAGAGGATATAGAAGTATAAAACCGAGTGAGGCCTGGTACTTGATATAGATAATACAGGGCTTTTATAAGAGGCATAAGTAAAAATGGCTTTAACACAATGGGAAATTATTGTTAAATTTTTAATAGTTTCTTAAAAACTCAAAATGGTAAGAGTTGTGAAAGGGATAACGTCTGAGGTGTCTGTAACAGGTGTAAGCTCAGGACCTCACCCAAGTTTCTCTGAATTAAAGTCTCTAGTATTTGTGACAAGGAACCTGCATCATTAATAATCTCCCTCCCACCCAGGAGGGGCACCTGGGTGGTTCAGTCGATTAAGTGTCCGACTCTTGATTTACGGTTCGTGGGTTCAAGCCCCATGTTGGGCTCTATACTGACAGTGTGGAGTCTGCTTGGGAGTCTCTCTCCCTCTCTTTCTGCCACTCCCCCCACCTCTCCCTCTCTCTCAAAAATAAACATTAAAAAAATAACCTTGGGGTGCCTAGGTGGCTCAGTTGGTTAAGCGTTTGACTTTGACTCAGGTCACGATCTTACAGCCTGTGGGTTGGAGCCCCACATTAGTCTCTGTGCTGACAGCTTAGAGCCTGGAGCTTGCTTCGGATTCTGTGTCTCCATCTCTTTCTGCCCTCCCCACCCCCCTCCCAGCTCATGCTCTGTCTCTCTCAAAGATCAATAAACATTAAAAAAAAAAATTAAAAGCAAGTCTCCTCAGGAGAATTTGGTATGTGATAAATATTGAGAGCTTTCTTTTTTAAAGTTATGCTGTCCAAATAGTTAGAATAGTGCTTTGCACAGAATGGGGATCCAAAAGCATTGACTACGTCGGTGAACAAAAGTATGAGCCAATAAGGCATTTATTTGGAAAGGGACCCCACATCTTCCATATCTTCTAGATTCCAAATCCAGTGCTGTTTCCCTAAACCCCCTTGGAGAGCACCATTTGGGATTCCTTAAGTTAGGAAGGCATTAAGCCATTGTTGGAAATGGGCCTCTGCTGTTCTCAGTTCTGGAGGCTTTTCTGCAAGCTGCCAGAACTCAGACGCCACGCCGGCTGGACTCATTGCCCAGCCTGTCCACGGAGCAGGTGGTTGGCCTGAAGCTTCGAGAGGCAGTTAAGGTCAAACTCCCCACTGTCACCAGGGACAGTTGTTCTCAAGAACAGCTTTCATAAAAGAGTGAAATCCTCCTACTCAAATAGCCTTTGTCCTGAGAAGAGAGACAACTTTATGATTACTTTCTAATAAAAGTCTGTGCTAAGCTTGATTTCTGTGGAGCGTTCTGCAAGGGCTGATAACCCCTGGGATCATCCAGCTGATGGTGGATTGAATTCAATCCTGAATTCTACTACCGTGGGCTCTTGGGGGGTAACTTCTAACCTCTCTTAATGGAAAGGGACAAAGAAAGGCCAGTTCTGGATTTGTGAGGTCAGGCACAGCTCAGGCAGCATGGAATTTACAGAGTTGGCTGCCAGCTCAAGCTGTTTTCTCAAAATGACTGTCTCTCAAGGGAGAGATATTATGCTAATATTGTTAGAAGCTCAGAGGTTAGGTTATAAAACAATATTTATCTGCTCTTTTGTCAGCTTTATTTTTCGTTTTGGTTTAATGGTTGTTGAAAATGTGGGGAAATCAAGGGAGATGAAAAATTGCACCAAATAAAAAAGACTAAAGAAAGAAAAGGAGGGGAGTAGAGAGTCAGCAAAGAGCAAGTGAGCAGAGTATATTCACACATGAGAGAATGTGGTAGAGTGAAAGGGGAAGAGAATTTAGTTCCTGCCTCCCTCCTTTTTCCTTTGAAGAAGTACGGTGTAAGCTTCACACTGTCCTGACCCTGCCCCAAATTGTCAGTGACCCTGTTTTTTCTTTCCTCTAAGCCTGAAACAGGTATTGAGGGATAATCTTAGAAAGTTGTAAATTGCCTGAGCACAACACTGAGACCCCCCAGAGACTACTGTAAGTCTAATGCTGTCTAGCAGAGGGTGCAGCCACAGAAGAATAAATCTCTGGACTTGTGCCTTTGTCCGGCCCATGCCCGCTGCCCTCCTCTGTGTCTCACCATCTCCTGGAAAAGCTTTCAGCTGAATCCTTCATGCTCGCTCTCTCAGAAATACAGCCTCATGGGGCTCCTGGGTGGTTCAGTCAGTTAAGTGTCTGACTTCGGCTCAGGGCATGATCTCACGGTTTGTGAGTTTGAGCCCTCGAGCCCAGCATTGGGCTCTCTGCTGTCAGCACAGAGCCTGCTTTGGATCCTCTGTACCCTGCCTCTCTCTGCACCTCCCCCGCTAGTGCTTTCTCCCTCTCTCAAAAATAAATAAACATTAAAAAGGAAAAAAAGGAAACACCGCTGCATGTAATCCCTTTGCTATTTAGGGGCAGAGGTACCCAGGCTTGTGAGGGAAGAACAAGGATTCTGGACTCTGATCTGCCCCATTCTCCTTTCTCTCTCTCCCATACGAGGGTGAGACACTGAAAAACTGGAAGGTCAGGGAGGACGTTGTCCCATGGGACCTCTGGGTTTCTGCTCCCCACCACAAACCCCTAGAAGTAGAAGTATGGGACATCCTCCCACTGTTAGGAAACGTATTACAACGTATTCTCTTCTGCTCAGTGCTTTGCCCTTGTTGAAAAGAGAGAGGGGAGAGCAAGAAGGAATTAAGTGAAAAGGTTATTTCAACATACGATTCTGGTTGCGAATATTATGTTGCTCACATCGTTAGGAGGGTCAATTATGAATGTCCAGGGGAAATGACTGTGCCCTCTCTTCTTCTCTTATGTTCTCTCTTTCTCTCCCCTGCCAGTCTTGATACTCTCCTGCAAGGAGCTACCTGCGAGTGGAGGTCAGGACATAATTTTGAGGTAAAAATGTTGCTGCTTCTCTGTATGAAAAAAGATGTTAATTATAAAAGAGGAGTATCATTCAAGGTAGTCCTGCTTGTTTATTCTTGCTTTTGTTGCCCTTACTTTTGATGTCAAATTCAAAAAATCATTGCCCACATCAACATCAAGGAGCTGACCCCCTCTGTGTTCTTCTAGGAGTTTTATGGTTTCAGGTCTTAACATTCAGGACTTTAATCCATTTTGAGCTGATTTTTATGTATGGTGTAACGTTGGAGTCCTGTTTCATTCTTTTCCACATGGACATCTGGTTTCCCCAACACCATTTATTGAAGAGACTATCTTTTCTCCACTGTATGTTCTTGGTGCCTTTGTCATAAATTAATTCACCATATGTATATGCATGGGTTTGTTTCTGTGCTCTCTATTTTGTTCCATTGATCTATGTGTCTCTTTTTATGCCAATAAGATACTGTTTTGATTACCATAGCTTTCTTGTATAGTTTGAAATCCGGCAGTGTGTTGACTCCAGCTTTGTTCTTCTTTCTCAAGATGCTTTGGGTGTTTAGGGTCTTCTGTGGTTTCATACACATTGTAGGACTGTCTTCTCTATTTCTGTGAAAAATGCAATTGGAATTTTGGTAGGGATGACATTGAATCTGCACATCACTGTGTATAGTAGGGACATTGGAACAACATTCCCGGCCTTTTTCCCCACAGAAGGCAAAATGACTTGTGACGGAGGTTTCAAACCCCCCCTATCTCTGCTACTTGGGATCTGTCCACCTGTGTCTTCTCATCTGCTCTCTGCTGCCCCTCTCAGGGGACGCATGTGACTATGAACAATTTGTGCCAGTGTCAGGATAAATAAGCACGTCTGACTCAGGGTTAATTAGCAAGACCACGTTACATCAGGCCTGGTCCGTTTTTCTCCAGCTTCATCGGTAATAAAGGTGATAGTTTTATCTCCATCTACCTGACTTTTTTGCCCATCTTTCAGGGGGAGAAAGCAGACTGTTGCTTAATCACTTCTTAAAAGTTCGAAACAATCAATGCTAAAAGGGCAAGGCAGAGCCATGAGCAGAAAATGGGCCAAGAATTTTGATGGTAGACCAAATCCAGGTCTACCTGGAAAAGGAACACAATGCCTGGTGTGAAACTGCTTGGGCATTTGCCAAAGGTGCCTCTTCCTTAAGACACTGTACTTCCATCTACCAGAAAATGGTCATAAGATACTGATTTGCATAGAATGAGACAGTTTGCTATCATTCTTCTGGAAATTGCCACATTTTGGGTGCAGATGGATGTCTAAGATGAGACTGGTGCCCTCCAGAGTTGTGCAGTGCCCTACCTGTCCTGCAGGCAGCACCAGTAAATGCTGGTGTCCTACACCGTATTGGGAAAATGGGGACACCCATACACCAAGTTCCTTCTTTCCTCACTCAGTGCAAGAAGCCCTCGAGTAAATAGGGCCCTCAGAAGCTCCTTACTGGATTGGTCTTGCCCTGTCTGTGACTCAGTTTGGGCTTAAGGAACCATACTTTTATATCTATCTGAAGATATCTGAGTTCTCTAGGAACCAGCCTCTAACATTATCTTATTTTAGGTCTCGGATACCAGATCTTTTTTAGAAGCACCTGACCCTACAGCTTGTTATTGTTAAATACCAGTCACCCAATCCCCAAACAATTCACTAATGCTTATGCAGGCCAGCCACGGGCCAGGATTCCTGTGCAATCACCACTCAGTCTTCCCCATCTCCACAACAGCCTAGCATAGTGGGTACTCAAAAAGCTGGTGAATGAATAAATGAATGGATAAATTCCTCATTTGTATACATAGTACAGCATCCTCTCTGAGTCATGTTTGTCTAGAACGTATTCATTCGTATATCGCCTTTGTGCCTTTTCCCAGAACTATTATATTGTTAGTGTTCTTTAAATTGGCTCACTTTTTCCCTTAAATCTTTTGAGTAAAAATCCTCATCGAGTGAAAAACAGTATTTCGGTATCTTTGTGCTATGGTAAAATGTTCAAACCTCACACCACTGAAAAACATGTTACGTAGTGACTATTGTGCAAATATCACAACTCAAGAAGCATTGCCCTAGGTCCTGGGGTCCACCAGGAGCTGAATCAAGATCCAACAAACTCCCAGATGCCAGCTGAATAATGCAACCTGCAGGCCTTGTCAAAGGCAGTACACATTGTGACACTTGTTAGCAATAGGATAGGGAGAGCTGGTAGCACCAGGAGAGGTTGGCCATAGGCTCACAGGCTCGCAAGCTGTCAACCCTGTCAAAAAACAAAACAAAACAAAACAAAACAAAACACCCAGAGCCACGCCTGCCAGCCAGAGGAAATGAATCAGGACAATTATTCAGAGTCATTTGTCTGGAAGGGGGAAGAGACTTTTTTCTTAGTTTGCAGGAAATGCTTAGGTAAGCACGAACCCTGCTGGGCAGGCTAGCACCTGCCAAGTCACTGTCTGGAAACCCAGATAATTCCAGACTCTGCACTTCCCGATGAAGTCCCCTTGGCATCAGTTGTCAGGGCTGTCCGATGGCTCAGTGAGAAAGCTTCTGCTCAGCATCCTGACAGAAGACACTGCGTTCCTACATCTGCTTGCTTGTCAGGGAACAGGTGTCTCTGGGTGGTACTGCCCTGGGTGTGATAAACACCAGTCAGGAGAGGCAGGTGAGGCTGACTTGCGTAGCTGTGGAGGCCACTCTGGGCCCAGGAACAGGGCTAGAGGAGACGCCACCCTCTTGGTTCTAACTGTGGGGTGCCTTGGACATACCTTAATCCACCAAAAATATCAGAAAAATAAGGGGAAGAAAATGCGCTAGGCACTGTGCTGGCTGCTGTAAGGATAGACATTGTATATCCATCTTTTACAAAATGTTAGAGCAAGCCTTTATTCGTAAATAACCAAATAATAAAGCACTCATCCTGAACTTACTGGAAGGCCAGGGAATTTCCCAGGCATTTCTGAGAGTTCCCAAAGACAGCTTTATGTTCCCAAAACCCATTTGCTTTCCTCTGGGGTGCCTTCTGAATTTAAGTTCATTCATGTTGGCTGTGTCGAAATCATGTCTCCACAGTCCAGTCTCTCAGACCACTTTGCACATTGCCACACACACACCTCACCACCAGAGTAGATGCAGGGTCCTCCTTGAAGCCCCAAAGCACAGCAAACACAAGGTTGCCCATGCCAGATGTGTTTGATCAGAGTGTAAGAATGACATGAGGACACTACACTGTAGCTGGACATCTGTTGTCACTGCTTCTAGGACACATCAGCCCTGCCCCTTCCCAGGTACCCACTCCTGTCACTGTCACCCATAGCTGCTGGCCTCAGGGCATGACATAGGGGCTCACTTATCTACCCAGACAAAAATCCTCCTTCAAAATTCCTATATTTATAATTCCAGCCCCCTTCTGTTTTTCCCCATCCTCAGGAGCCCACAAGAGGAAGTAGAAAAAATTTTTAAAAGGTAAAAACAACTCTCTAGAGACAGATCACCTGTGATGAAGACAGCCCTGTAATTATTAAACAGGAAATTTGACCATCCTGTCTAAAGTATATGCATTTGAATCTTGCCATTTGCCTTTACCTCTGAATGACTAAATTATTTCTGTATTTATGTATGTATTCATTTATTTAGTAGACCTGCATCACGCCTGCTGAGTGCCAGGCACTGTACTGTGCAAAGATGAGCTCCTTTAATCTGTGTAACAGTCATACGAGATACTGTGTACTTTCACTCCTATTTGATAGATGAGGGCTCTGAGGCACAGAGAGACTGAATAACTTGTTTGACATCACACAGCCAGCAAGGAGCAGAGCAGGATTTAACCAGGTCAGTTGGTTCTGTAGTTGGTTCTTAACTACTTGGCCATACTTCTCTGCAGTGGTCCCCATCCGCATTGAGGGAGACCTAGTCCCAAAGACAAGCCCAAGCTTATACAGTGGGGCATAAGACGAGAATTGCTGTCCAGTGTGTCCCCTCTTCCCACCATCAAGGGTTCAGAAATATTGTTGTCTTAAAGCCCCCAGTTACATTATCCAAATTGGTTTTCATAACAACCCTATTCATTGTATGTTCTCTTGATTTTACAATTGGGAAAACTGAGGCACAGTAGGCAGTGGAGGTTGGATTTGACCCCAAACCTGGCTGATTTTAAAAATGTATGTTCTCAGGGTGCCTGAGTGGCTCAGTTGGTTAAGCATCTGACTTCAGCTCAGGTCATGATCTTGTGATTGGTGAGTTCATGCCCCACGTTGGGCTCTGTGCTTACAGCTCAGAGCCTGGAGCCTGCTTTGGATTTTGTGTCTCCCTCTCTCTCTGCCCCCCTCCCGCTCACATTCTGTCTCTCTCTCTCAAAAATAAATAAACATTAAAAAAAAATTTAAAGGGGAACCTGGCTGGCTCAGTCAGTTAAGCCTCTGACTTCTGCTCAGGTCATGATCTCACGCTTTGAGGGTTCAAGCCCCACATCAGGCTCTGTGCTGACAGTTCAGAGCCTGGAGTCTGCTTCAGACTCTGTCTCCCTCTCTATCTGCCCCTCCCCTACTCACGCTCTGTCTCTCTCCCTCAAAGATGAATACACATTAAAAATTTTTTTTAATTTAAAAATTAAATAAAAAATAAAAATAAATAAAAAAATATGTTCTCTCCACCATACAGAGCACTGTATCTATATGATGCTACTAAAGATAGTATTTTTTTTAACTTGCCTCATTTTAAATCTTTTACGTACAATGCTAAGTAAGGCTTGAAGAGTTCAGAAGGAGAAAAACTAGATTTCAAAGAAAAGCTTACGCAATGATCAACTGCATAAGTAATGTGTTTGAGCTCTGTGTGAAGGAAAAAAGAAACTTGCCATAGTTCTAGTTAGAGTGTAAGTCTTTGGGCCAGGCACATTCCTACACAGCTTCCTTAACATGCTTTCTGCCTCCAGGTTCTCTTGCCCATCAACCTCCCATTCACTCACAGCCAGTGAGGATCTCTCTCAAAGGCATTCATCTCCTCCAAATATGGTGATGACAATAGTAATAATAATACCTTCAACAGCCCTGTTCATCCAGTGGATATTTATTTAGGTGCTCATTGGAAGTGCTCATCTATCAGGATGCCTGGATTTGAATACTGAGCCCACCATTTCTTAGCTATGTGACCATCGGCAAGCTATTTAACCTCTTTGTGCCTCAATTCTTTGTTGTAAAGATAAAACGGAATTACATATGTAAAGTGTTAATAGCAGTGCCTGGCATATAGGTAGGAGCTCAATAAATGTTAGTTGTTACAGGTAGAATTTGCCAACCATAACAGTAGGTACTGGTGACACAAATAAAAAATAAATGTAGTGTGACCGCAACTCAAGTTAAATCATAACTGAGATGAATGTGCATCCTTAACTATGACTGCTACTTGGTTAAGCAAACGTTATGTGGGAGTAAAACTTTACCCAGCACTGTCTCTTGACCAGTGCCTCAAAATCAGAGGGATCCTATGGAAGAAATGCTGAAGTTATCTGAATATTTTTTCAATCTTGGCTCTAGGTGAAAATTAAGAGTCCATGATGTTGGGAGAGGGCAACTTCTGACAATATGTCAGACTGAGCTCATGTTGCAGGACTTCCTTAGTGCGACAAATCCTAGCTAAATTAAAACTAGAAAAAAACTAATACATAGTCTTTTAAATATATACACTTTCTCACATCAGCCATGTGCTTGGCTTTATGTTGAGTGCTAACAGTATAAAAAGAAATACCTTGGTGCTAGAAACAAAATAAGAAATTGAAGCAAAAGCATTAAGAGATAATGCTGTACTCATCCGCAGGGTTACTGGTCTTATATATAGGTCACATGAGCTAGTGACTGAGATTTTTACAACCACACAAGGCCAAGAGACATGGCTTTGGAGAGAGAGAGAGAGAGAGAGAGAGAGAGAGAGAGAGAGAGAGGTTGAGCTGTAACTAAGCCCCATGCATAAGGCTGGGAACTTTGGATGCTATTCTATAAAAAGGAACATAAAAAAAAATCCACAAAAAGGAGATAAAACTTCATTCTCCATTTCATGGAAGTTTCTATATAACTGTGAGAAAACAAAGTCACCATAAGAAATAGAAAAATGTTAAGCTTGAAGCACGTGTAGTAGATGACCAGAATTCACATTATTATTGTAATTCAGAAAAACCCCAAATAGGAAATAGAGGCAAAATTTGTTTTGGAATTAGTGTGACGACAAGGATCTTAGTAGCTAAAAATCCAAAACCACTCTGCAAGGATACTTCTGGGACACATGGGCCTCCCACAGGGGAAAAATATATATATATCTCTGAACATAAGTTCCCAATTAAATTATAAATTAAAAAACAAAGTTATCACAGAGAAATCCAGCAGGTAATAAAAAGAAGAATTAATACACAACATGGAAAAAAAAAAAGAAAACAAGCTTAAAAAAAGATAGTATGTAAAATAGAGACAAAATGATGAATCAGAAATCATATTAAAAATAAGGAGTATGAACAAAATAATATGCATATTTGAAAAAAAAGCAAATAAAACTTTGAAGAATAAAAGATATAGTCATTAACATTGAAAACAGCAAGCTGAATTTAAATAGAAGATTAGATACAGCTGCAAAGAGAATCAATAAACCAGAAGAGAAACCTCAGGAAATAAAGTAGATTATGTCATAGAGAAATAAAATTATAAGCCATTTTTAAATGAGGACATAAGAAGAAAGTTTAAGTGTACATGTAATAGAAATTTCAGAAAGAGTGAATATAAAGATTTCAGAAGGGAAGAATAGAAAGGATGAGAAGAAAGCAATATATAAAGAGATAATGGCTGAGAATTTTTCAAAGACGATTTGAAAGGCACACTGAGTCCTGAGAAGAGAAAATAAAAACCATCCTATACCTTTACATGCCATGGTAAAACTTCTGAACCTTAAAAGCAATGGGAGAGAAAAAAAAAGACCCTATGACCCTACAAAAGAATTAGAATTAGATTGACTGCAGAGTTCCTATAAACAGCAAAAGAGACCAAAGAACTGTAAAATGATGTCTTCAAAGTTCTTAGTAAAATAACTGCCATCCTGAAATTCAGTGCCAGCTCTCATATTCAAGAGCAGTGGTGAAACACTACATTGGTGAGCATTCTAGAATGATTAAGTCCAAGCCTTGGTGTCATGGAGCAGCAGATTAAAAGGATGCTGGGAATCCCTGTAAACCAATATTCGTGGACTTAGAATTTCCCAAAAGAAAACAGAATCATCTTTTTCTTTCTAGAAAAAGAAGGGAAATCCATTAGGACTGATTTTAGGTTCTTAACCTACTCCAGCCTCTGAACACAAATCTCCAAGACAAGCTGGGTTCATATGACAGGCAGGTGATTGAACTGGCCTGAGAATTCCTGATGGAAAACACACATAGTTGTCTGCATTGGTCAGGAAAACTCTGAAATTGTCACAGTTTCCAAGAGCTTACTGGATACTGAATGAAATAGGTAAGTTTATAATTGTTATAAAAAGTGGGTGTGCTCTAAAGGTGGGAAGTGGGGTGCCATGGCCACTCAGAGAGAAGACGCCTACTCCTCATTGTCTGTAGTTCAGACTCAGCTTGACAGTCTATGTCTTTCACCATAATGTCCTGTCATAACTTCTCCAAAATAATCTTTCGCTACTCCCCAAGCTAACACTCCCCTCCAAATGATTGGACTCTTCACTAACCCTTGAAAACAAGTCCCATTTTAATTAAAGTCCCATGTTAAATAAATATGGGCTGTTTGTTGGTTGATTAGTTGACTGGTTGAGTAACAAAAGCAATTCAGATCTCCTTATGTCTTGACATTTCAGTTGTGCTAAACCGCTGTGGACAGATTATAAATCAGGTTGTACATAGAAAGAGAAATCTCTGTTATAAAGCCATGTGACCTAACCTCCAGGTTGCAACAACTTTTCGTTAAAGCGTGTAGTATAGTACAGAAGTTTAGATGCCAGCTTTGGAGACCGATTTCCTGAGATCTAATTCTCATTCTACGATTAGCTCTGTGACCTTGGGTAAGATATTTAATTTCTTTGCGTCTTGATAGCAAACCATAGGAATAAAATTAAGGCGTTACTCATAAAATACTTGCAAGAATTTAATGAAGCAATATATGTAAAATTAAAATGTGCCTGATAACTGGCACATACTTAATATAAGTTAGCATGCATTGCCATTATTTTTATTAATGCTTAAATGCAGAACAAGGAAGAAACATCTACTATTTGATTTATGTATTATTGCAGGTAAGAGAAGGGCATCTAAATGAAGATTTGGAGAGGACCATGCAATCTTCCAACTTCCTATAATTCTACACCAATTCTCAAAATATAGAGTAACTACTGAGACTAGATACCAGGTCCTCAATCTACCATTCATTCTATCAACTCTATCACTGGTATAATACAGGTCTCCTGGCTTATAACCAGCACTTTCATCATTTCATTATTATTTTTACAACTCCACTGATAATACTTACCTGACAACCGTTGCTATTATCACAACCATAACTAATGCCACTGTTGTGTTATCATTGCTTCCTCCCCACTAGAAATCATTTATGACGTACCAGCCTTGTGCCAAACACTCTAAAAAAAGTATTTTCTCAAAAAAAAAAAAAAAGGATTGTCTCCAGTCATTATAACAACTCTGCAAGAATTATATTTCTCTCCCCATTTTACAGATGAGGAAATTGCTAAATAGCTTGTTCAACATTCACAGCCAGTGGGCAGAAGGGTCAGGATTCAAACCTAGATCCTGCTAGCTCTCAAGGCCATACCTTTTCCACTTTGCCAACCTGCCTCTCTACCTAAAATGTACTGGAGCACAATAGAACAGATTTTTACCAGTTTTACAGCTGTTTCTCTCAGCCTGCAAAACAGATTGCTCCCAGTTGCTGAGCCTGATGATTGGTGCCAATTTGTCAAAATGCCAGTGGAGTTTTAATGATTTAGAAAAAAGCACAGGCTGATGGCTTTTTCTACACCCAGCAGATGCCTCTGTTCCAAGAACTCTAACAGCATCAAAGTGGAGCGCACCCCCTGACTTGCAATGTTTCCTGCAAATGACAAGTCTGTGGACGTCATCTGGGGACCAAGGGCAAGGATGAGCTCTGTCAGGCTCATCTGCCGGGAAAAGGGGAGCAAAAAAAACAACCAAGATAAAACCACCATGGGGCTGGAAATCTGGCAGAGGATGGCCTGAAGATTAGTTTTAGATTAGATAAGTCCTGTCTTTCTCTTGGTATTTGGAAAGCCTTGAAACTTCAGCTTTCTTACTTTGGCTCTTCTGTTCCAGCTCTTGGCATAATTATTTTGATGAAGTGCATCCCAAGATGAGAGCCTCACTGAAGTCTATTTGACAAGAACGCAGAGCAGTAAAGGGGAGAAGAAAGCTGTGTGTGCAGCTCAGAAGCCACAGATAAATGGGGTCTATTCACAAGGCAGTGTGAAAAACGGGAGAGTGATGGTAGCCATTTTGCAAGGTGCGGGACTTATGGACTCATAAGTCTTTTAGAACTTGGCAATTGTGCTTCAAAATGATGGAGAAAAATGAGCAAGTGACTGCACACCAAATATAACCCACCTTTCTGAGAGCAGGAAGCAGGAGCCCACACTCATGCCTCATGTGGCATTTCTGTGCACGATCCATCATCTGGGCTGGGGAATTCACAGGCCTTGGAAACCTCTGCAGAGCTTCAAAGGTAGGATATGCTTTGAATTCTGAGTTATTACAACTCATTCAAATTCTCATTTTCCACAGGGTTGCTAAATCTTATCGGGAGCTGCTTTTCTAAGGTAGGTCCAGCATCTTAGCAGACAAAGGGGACAAGGAGGAATTCTGAGAGGCTCTAGGGAGAGAGAGCATAATGAGGGTGTAGGAGTGGTAAACTTCCAGGTAAAGGGAGTTGCCTACGGCAGGCTGTTAGAAGCCTACGTGGTGGTGGTGGTGGTGATGATGGTGATGACGATGACAACGATGACAGTAATAGCCCCTCCTACTTGCAGAGCATTTACTCTATGCCAAGTCCATGCCAAGAGCCTTCATAGGCAACAGGTGTCATATGTTTTCTCCTCCCTCTGGCATCTTACGTACTTTGTTTTCAGTCCCCTACCTGTTTTTTATTTTAGGCTTCAGGATTGAAAAGTCTGGTTTGTGGGAGGGTCAGATCATGGAGAATACGTGATCAGGTTTTCTGAGATAGACGTATGGTTGCAGATGAAAACAGAGTTCTCAGACTAGGGTGGAGGGAGAGTTTCAGAAGGGACACAAAGCTTTGGTATTGATGAGGGTCTCTAAGAAAAGAGTCTTCTAGCTGGACACCCTGAGAGCTGGCTATCTTAGTTTTTTCACTAAGTTTTTGGCTGTCATAATGAAATACCAGTGGGGGACTTAAGCAACAGAAATTTATTTTCTCATGACTCTAGAGGCTAGAAGTCCAAGATGAGGTGTTGGTAGGGTTGGTTTCTTCTGAGGCCTCCCAGAAGAGAGGTTAGTTTCTTCTTGGCTTATAGATGGCTGTCTTCTTCCTGTGTCTTCTTCCTCTTGTGTGTGTCTGTGTCCTAATTTCCTCTTGTAGTAAGGATACCAGTCATTTTGGATTAGTGTCTACCCTAATGACCTCATTTGAGCTTAAGTTCCTCTTTAAAAACTCTATCTCCAAATGCAGTCACATTCTAATATACTGGGGGTTAGTGCTTTTACATATGAACTTTGGGGGGGAGCAATCATTCAGCCCATAACAACGGTCTCAGGGACAAGGAGCACAACAAAACCATAGGTAGTTTGGGGAAAGAGGGGAAAGTACAGAGGATTCGCTAGATTCTCTTCCCAAATAGTATAGCAAAGCAATAAGACCCAATAGTAGAAATGGCTGTGTGTTGTATTTATGCAGGAAAGCATGAGTTCACCTCACAAAGTTTGTCAAATCCAGAGTGGCCAAGCCCTTTGTCCCGAAGAGCAGGTCAGACAAAGCACAGATAGGTGGAGGCTCTAAAAAACTCTGGCATCAGAAAAAAGGGAAAATGAAACAATAGCATTCTACCTAAGATACGAAGGACATCTCAGAGAATATCAGCATGTATAGATGTTGATAGCCAATCTTGCCATTTGTGTAACACTTACTATATGCCAGGTTCTGTTATAGGTGATAGCTTCATTTGAATCAGATCATTTCATTCTATCATCAATCCTACAAAATAGCTATTATTATTACTCACACTTTACAGATGAGAAAATTGAGTCATAGAGAGAACTTGCCCTAGGTTACAGACAAGGAAGTGAAGAACCAGAATTCAAGCCATAGGCCAAGCTCTTGACCAGAACAAAGATTAATCACTACCCAACAATGTATCCACACTGATTATAAAAATATCAAATGCTTCTATATATGTTGGCGTACAACTGGTAGTCCAATACTCCTTAATGCTTTCTTGCTGCCCTGTCCACCAAGACCCCTCCCCTGGGACCCCAAGAACAGAATCCCTACATTAACAATTAATTCCAGGGTCTGCCAGGCTCCTGTTCCAGCTCTGCATGTCCCATTCAGACTGATGAGACCCAGTGCCATAGTGGTGTTTCTTTTTTTTTAATATAATTTATTTTGTCAAATTGGCTAACATACAGTGTGTAAAGTGTGCTCTTGGTTTTGGGGATAGATTCCCATGGTTCATCACTTACATACAACACCCAGTGCTCATCCCAACAAGTTCCCCTCCTCAATGCCCAACACGCATTTTCCCCTCTCTCCCACCTCCCCCATCCACCTTCAGTTTGTTCTCTGTATTTAAGAGTCTCTTGTGGTTTGCCTCCCTCCCTCTCCATAACTATTTTTTCCCTTCCCTTCCCCCATGGTCTTATATTAAGTTTCTCAAGATCCACATATGAGTGAAAACATATGATATCTGTCCTTCTCTGACTTATTTCTCTCAGCATAATGCCTTCCAGTTCCATCCACATTGCTGCAAATGGCATGATTTCATTCTTTCTCATTGCCAAGTAGTACTCCATTGTATATACAAACCACATAGTGGTTTTTAAATATCTTGAACATTAGTCCTGCCTTATACTCCTGTATCATATTGCCTCTTGTGGGCCAGAATGTCCCCACCAATACTTTGGAAACATTACATCATTCAGGATCAGCTGTAGCCACAGCCCCCACAGCCAGTGGGTTCATCTAAAAAGTCTTGCTCATGCTACATGTCCAGCATGTGTCAGCAAAGAGTCTCTGCTCATCATAGTCACTCAGGGGTCCAGCTGATGAAGCTTCCACCCTAAGGTGTGCTTACACAGATACCAAGGGAGAACCAGACTGTGGCATATCAAATGCTGACTCTTAATTCTCCTACCAGGGAGTGACATATGTCATGTCCACATACATTTCAGTGGACAATGTGAATCACGGGGTCATGCCTATCTTCAAAGGGGCCAATCCTACATGTGTCTAAAAGAAAGAAAGTAGAAATGTTTGGCACAGAGCATTGGTGAGCAACCCACATGGCCAGCACTTAGTGACAACACATGGAAGCTGAGAATCCTACATGTTCTAAGATGATGCTCCCTTTTTTTTTTTCTATTTTTTAATGTTTATTTTCGAGAGAGAGAAAGAGAGAGAGAGAGAACACAAGCAGGGGAGGGGCAGAGAGGGAGAGGCAGACACAGAATCTGAAGCAGGCTCCAGGCTCTGAGCTGTCAGCACAGAGCCCAACATGGGGCTCAAACCCACAAACCATGAGATCATGACTTGAGGTGAAGTCGGACACTTAACTGACCCTGAGACACCCAGGCACCCTCTGAGATGATGCTTCTGACATGGAGGACTTATAATAAAAAAATCAAGTTCTAATAACATTAAGTAATTGTATTTAAAAAATACCTAGGTTCCTCAAATGATATTTATATATACAACACTTAAATTATTTCATCAAATAATTATATAAAACACTTTAAGATGATATTTTATTCCTGTTTTATAGACAAGGACACTGAGCTATGGTAAGTAACTTGCGTGAGGACATTACCAAATACTACAGCTAAGATTTGAACCCTTGTCTGCCTGGCTCCAACACCTTTCCAGTTTTAAAACACATGCTGTCATTTATTCATTCATTTTACAGTTACCTACTGAGAGCCAACTATGTGTTAGGCACTATAATGAAGTTGAGAATACAGCAAGGTCTCTCCTGCATGGAGCTTAAATTAGGATAAGGGAAGAAGACCCAGAATAAAAAGCAAGGAAACAACTATGTAAACAAGAAGATATTGAGTAATAATAATATGATGATGAAAAGAAAATGGAGAGTCACATGATAAAGGGGCTACTTTAAGGAGGTGATATTTGAGCCCAGACACAAATGACAAGAAGGAGCCACTGATGTGAATGTTTGAAGGAAAAGGCATTTGGCCCAAAAAGAACAGTTAGTGCCAAGGCCTCAAGGTCAAGATAAGCTTGGAAATGAAAGGACCTCTTATGTAGTTACAGTCAGATGTCAGCTGAGGCTACAGTCCAATGAAGGATCCACTGGACTGGATGTGCAAGATGGTTCACTCAATATATATGGCTGGCAGCTGAACTGGGGCTTCACCTATGCCCTCTCCATATCACACATGGCCTCTCCGAGTAGCATGAACTTCTCACAGTGTGACAGTGGGATTTCAAAAGGGAATGTCCCAGACCAAACATTCCAAGAGGTAGAAAACAGAAACTAGCTTGGAGTTAGCACAGAATCACATCCACAATATTCTAATAGTCAAAGCATTGGCAAGGCCTGGCCCAACTCAAGAGGGTTAAACTGGGTTAAACAGTGTTTCCCCCAAATTCAGGTCCATGCAGAATCTCAGGAGTGTAACCATATCTTGTAGGGTCTTTGCTGATGTGCTTAGGTAAGTTCAAATGAGGTCATACCAGATTGGGTGGGTCCTAAATCCAGTGACTGTGGGATGAGTCCTAAATCCAGTGACTGGCATCCATATTAGAGGAGAGACACAGAGACAGAGATGCAGAGATGGAAGCAATGCACTGGGAACCAAGGAACAGCAAGGATTGCCAGCAGCCTCCAGAAGCTGGGAGAGGCAGGGAACATCCTCCCTGAGTTCTCTGAAGGAACCACCCTACAGACACCCTGATTTAGGAATTCTGACCTCCAGCACTGTGAGAAAATAAACTTCTGTTGTTTTAAGACTTTCAATTTGTGGTAATTTGTTACAGCAGCCTTAGAAAACTAAGAAACAGGCGGAGAAATAACTCCTCCTTCTGAGGAATGTGACGGTCACATTGCAGAAGAGAAAAACAATGATGGCGGATATTATCAGGGCCATCCTGGGAAAAGTACCACCTGCTACTAGTGTTCATATCCCAAACAGGGTAATAGTCTCAGGAGCTATCAGGTTGGTTTCTTCTTCCTTTAATAATTTGTATGTTCTATGTTTATGTGAGTGTGTGTGTGTGTGTGTGTGTGTGTGTGTGTGTGTGTGTGTCTTGCTGTAGGGCTCCAGTATCTTCTTTGGAAAGTGTTGGGGTGTGAACAAACCAACAACAGTCTTTTCCCTGGGTTAGGGCTACAGCTTACACCTCAACCCGTGAGTGTCACTGTTCTTTTTGCCGGACTGAATTTCAAACTTTTTCTCAGCAGGATGTAAAGATTGAGCTACAGCTTTGACAATTTCTGAGCTCTTGCTGTGGCTGAGATCAAGGAACCATAGTTAATCACCAAGGAGTTGGTGGATGCTGCTGCCACTTCTCCACACAAAGCACCAAGGCCAACCCAGCCCAAAGCTAGAAGACCACAGGACCTGGGCATATTAACAGCTACTCATGGGTCTGAAAAGAAGGAGTGTGTCCCAAGCACTGAAGAGGCTTCTGCAAGTCTCCTGTGCCTTCTGAACATGCCTCAGGAAGCTGTTCTCCAGCTGTTACCTAGGAATTTGAGATTTAAGGCTTGAAGCTTAAAGACCATAGAATCACTGGCATCTCATTGGGAACTGAGACAGTGGATATGGACACGCTTTGAAAGATGTAACAAATAAAAGCAGAGATTATTACGGATGCTTAGTGTCAAATCCTTCTACCATATGCCTCCACTAACAGGAAACTCACTACGATATAAACATGTTACAGGCCCAGCCCTCAGTGGTGAGGAAGTTTGCTCTCTGTCCAGATAATTTGGTGGTAGGCAGAGGAGGTGGGGAGAAAGTCACCTGTGAGGTAGCAAAGTTCCATTACTATGCATGGATGTAAGAATTAAAGCTGCGTGACGAGAGGCCCAAGTTGAGAATCCAAAAATAAAATTAGCCCAAGATGATTGAAACCATAGGACAGGTTTCAAGCAGGATTAAATGTAAAACTACCCCGAGGGAACATTTTCATAATACAAGGTAATAATTTGCTCTTCCCATTCCCAAACAAAAAGGAAATGTAAAAAACATTCTGCCAAAGCTTGAGTTTACTAGGGAAAAAGATTACAAAATACATGAGCAAATGAATCTTCATGGAAACATGTGATAATAGGAAAATTATCTGCCCCCCACTCCATTAAACTGGAACTAATATGGTAAATCTAAAAAAGGTGTAAGTGAGCCTGGGTGGCTCAGTTGGTTAAGCATCCAACTTTGGCTCAGGTCATGATATCATGGTTCAGGGGGTCAAGCCCCACATCTGGCTCTGTACCGACAGCTCGGAGCCTGGAACCTGCTTTGGATTCTGTGTGTGGGTCTCTCTCTGCCCCTCTCCTGCTCACGCTCTGTCTCTCAAAAACAAATAAACGTTTAAAAAATATTCTAAAAGCTATAAGTATATTTGAAATGAATAAAGTAATGAATAAGTATATTTAAAATGAATAAATAAAAATACTGATAGATGGGGGACTGAAAAAAAGCTATTTAGTATTTTTAAAAATAACAGGTAAAACTTCAAGAAGTGAAAACCGAACTATTGAAATGAAAAAACCCAGTGGTTAGCTTAAAATTAAATTAGATACAGCTAAAGACAGAACAAGTAAACTGGGAAAATTATCTAGAATGCAACAAAAGGATATGGAGAAAAAATGTGAAATAAGAGTTAGACATTGAAGATAGAATGAGAGGGTCCAAAATATATCTTCAACCTATTAGTGGCTAACCAAAGAACTTCAAAACATAAGGCAAAAATTGACATAATTACAAAGAAAATATGACAAATCCATAGTCACAAAAAAATGTGACATCTCTTTAAGACATCTCTCTTAGAAACTGATATATTGAAAGACCAAATATGAGAACATTTGAAAAATTTAATAAGCAACCTTGAGCTAATGGACAAATAGAGAAATCCACCACCACAGAGAATACATTTGTTTTCTGGCTCATGTAAAACCAGTGCAAAATCTGACCACAAAATAGCCCTTAAGTAAAATCTTGGAAAATACCAAAGAATAAACATTTTGTAGTGCCATAAAATTAGAAATCAATAACAAAAATACAGTCTGCTAAAGCCGCGCTTGGTAACTGAAAATACATATTTTCATAATTAATGGTTCAAAGACAAAATTATAATGGGAATTAGAAAATATTTAGAACTTTGTATGGAAACCAATTTGACAATAAATTATATTTAATATAAAGAAAGAAAATATTTAGAACTGTGTAACAAAATCAGCATATTCAGAAGACTTTGTGACATTGCTAATATAGTACTTTGTGGGAAATTTATAACTAAATTTGTATATTGAAAAACAAGGAATTCTGAAAATATTTAGCTAGCTGTTACAATAAAGATAGAAACAACAGAATAATCACAAAAGGAAAAAGGATGGAATAAATAGTAAGAATGAGAGTACAAGTTAATGAAATGGGAAACAATAAGACCAACCAAATCAAAATTATCTTCAAAAGACTAATACATTATACAAAAGATTGATAAAAAAGACAAGAAAAAATTAACAAAAGATTAACAAAAAATTAACAAGACAAAAATTAATTCTAATAGAAATGAAAAACAGTGGACAGATCTGCATATATTTTAAACCATAAGAGAACACCATGCTGTACTGAACATTCTTGGTAGTTTGTTCATATCAGAATTTGGGGGAAGGGGTATATACCTAGTAAAATTTCTGGGTTGAAGAATGTATATACCTTCTACTTAAATACATTGCCACCTGGCTTTCCAAAAGGGGGTTGTAGTACTCACTTATTTATAGGCTTGCCAACATGTAGTATCAACAGGTTGTTATTTATTGTTTTGGGGTTTTTTTTGCAGCTGGATAAGCATGAGATGGTCTATCAGTGGTTTCAATTTGCATTTTCCTGGCTATTAGTAAGTTGGCAATATTTCCATATATTCTTTTCTGTGAATTGCCCTTTCATATCTTTTGCACGTTTTACTAGAATTTTGTTTACATTTCTCTTTTAGATTTGTCGGAGCTCATTGTAAACTCTAGACACCAATCTTATGGCAATTAAATGCAAAGCAAATTTTTCCTGATATGGGAGAAAATATATTTGCAAACCATTTTGTGAACATATGTTTTCATTTCTAAAAAATAGATGCCCAGGAGTGAAAAGGCTGTATCACAATTCAGAAATGCATTCAACATTACGAGAAACTGCCAAACCATTCTCCAAAATGGTAGTATCATTTTACACTCCGCCAGCAATGTATGAGAGTTCCTATTGCTCCACATTCTCATCAACATTTGATTCTGTCTGTCCTTTCTTTTTTCAAGTTTACTTATTTTGAGAGAGAGAGCATGCACGTGTGAGAGAGTGAGTGGGGGAGGGGCAGAGAGAGGAAGAGAGAATCCCAAGCAGTCTCCACGCTGACAGCATGGAGCCCAACATGGGGCTTGATGTGGGGCTTGAGCTGGGGCTGGATCCAACGAACCACAAGGTCATGACCTAAGCTGAAACCAAGAGTCAGATACCCAACAGACTGAGCCACCCAGGCGCCCCTGATTTTTGTCTGTCATTTTTACTTTAGTCATTATAGAGAGCGTGAAATATCTCTTGTGGTTTTAATTTAAATTTTCCTGAAGACTAGGTATTTGCATACTGCCATTCATAAATCATTAAAAAAATTTTTTATGTTTATTTATTTTTGAGAGGGGGGGAGGGGCAGAGAGCGAGAAAGGGAGACAGAATCCAAAGCAGGCTCCAGGCTCTGAGCTGTCAGCACAGAGCTTGATGAGGGACTGGAACCCACGAACCGCAAGGTCATGACCTGAGCCGAAGTCAGATGCTTACACAACTGATCCATCTAAGCCCCCCTCATAAATCACTTTTTAAATGTCACTTCAAGTCTTTGCCCATTTTTATTGGGTGTTTGCCTTTTTATTATTGATTTGAAGGACTTCTTTACATGCTTATATTTTGGGTATGAATCCTTTGCCATTTTTTCTTTCCAAAAGAATATTCAGTTTGTACCATTTGTTAAAAAGACCTCCCATCCTTGTTTGATTGACTTTGCCTTGGCCAGTAGTCAGTTGACCTTATGTGAGTGAGTATATCTCTGGACTATTTTCTTCCAATGATCTGCTTGTCTCTCCTGTCAATAACACTCTGTCCCAATCATGTAAGTCTTGAAATCAGGTCATGTAAGCCCTCCAACTTTTTCCTTAGATTTCAACATTGTTTTCAAAATTCCTCGTATTTCCAAATAAATTTTAGAATGAGCTTTGTCAATGGGGTATTGATTGGTATTGCATTGAACTTATGAATCAATTTGAGGAAAATGGACATTCTTATATATTGGTCATAAAGCCATCAACTTTGATGAACTGTCTTGTCCATTGCTAGCCCTAGGTCTAGGTGACACTACTTATTTCCTTCTTCTGTGTTTGAACCTCCAGTTAAACTCAGTTTGTATTAGTACTATCTCTTCCTTTGATGCCTATATTCTCCTCTAATTACCAACCTATAACTTATCCAAGTTCATGGCTTGTCTCCTTCTTCCTGGGTGAGTGCTGCTCAGATTATGTGCTCAAGGCATTCTCATTTCCAGCTTCCATGGGATGCCTTGTACTCCTGAGAATGGACACCAAGTCTCTGAATAGCTTAACGTGGCATACAAGCCCTCACATGGTCAAGCTCTTTCATACCTCTCTAGCCTTATCACTTAAATTACTATCTTGTGCTCTTCCTTCAGCCATAATAAACCACTAGGAGTTCCTTGAACACACACACTCTCTCTCATCTGGACCTTTGCATATCCTATTACTACCTCCTGAAGCATGTTTCCCTCCCCAGACACACCCATCCCCATCCTGTTAGCTTAGAAACCTTCCCTGATTCTTCAAGGCTGGTTTAGATGCCCTTCTCTGAGCTCTCATAACAACAGCCTGCAATTCATCATAACAGCCCTATTACGCTGTGCCCTTTGAAGGCAGGGACTGGGTCTTTCTCACTGTTGAATTTCCAACATCTATTTTTTTTTTTAATTTTTTTAAATGTTTATTTATTTGAGAGAGAGAGAGTGTGAGCTGGGGAGAGGCAGAAAGAGAGGGAGACAGAGGATCTGAAGCAGCCTCCGTGCTGACAGCAGAGAGCCCGCTGCTGGGTTCGAACTCACAAACCCTGAGATCATGACTTGAGCCGAAGTTGGACACTTAACTCACTGAGCCATCCAGGCGCCCCTCCAACATTTACCACGTTGCCTGGCACATAGCTCTCCATCAATATGTGTTAAATGTATGAATAAATGGAAGAATTAATAATAAGTAGACGCTGTCAGTATATCCATTATATACTCCTAGGGGATGGGAACCCTGACTCACTAAACACATCATGGCAGTTATGTACCTGTGGTAGAGACAGATGACTCATTCTGCTCCCAGCACTTGTTAAAAATATCCCTTATCCATATTCAATTTTTATGCACCGATCAGTCTTCTAATCTTAATGCACTTTCCAAGTAGATTTCTTAAACTAGGGCGGAAATGTATTTGCTGGTGGATACATTCTTAGCCTATCGGTAGATAGAGTGCACATTGTAAATGAGTTTTTGTTTTTCTGTTTTTTAAAGCAATCTTATGTTATTTTGGTTGACATGGATACAATCTTAGAACTCCTGCT